AGGCATAGGCTGCCTATCAAGTCGAAGCATAACCAATGTTAGGGCTTAATTAACAAGTTGAGGCCGGTGGAGGGTCAGATTGCTCGACATCGAATGCCAATTCTTAGCGCCAAATTTGGATCAAGTGTTTTGATTTTGGTGCCAAACTCGACTTATCAACCTTCCTTGAGCATCACTCCTAGTAGTCGGCTCGATCTCGACGTCGATCTTAACTCATTAGCATGACTTTGACACCATTCTGGCCCCAACATTGACATCAACCCCTACATTCATCTTGTCCTTTTCGTGAGATCGTGATAAGACTTAAATGATTATCCCTAAATGTCTGCCAAATCCTAGCCCTTTAGTCTGGCTTAACACTAGCTGATTGGCGCTACTCTAACGACAATCTTAGCTCATTGTTAATCCATACGAGTCATTTCACCTTGGCACTAGACCATGGTCAGTGATTTTAAAAAAAAAAGTAACAAACTAATAGTTACCTGTTGACGGTCAAATTTCGCCAACAAAAACCGGCCGGGTTACCTCTTGGTTTCCCTTTGGATTACCGGCCTATGTGTAGTGAACGTATGAGGATTTGTTGAATATGTGTGTTTGTGTGTTAACTAAATCATGCATAGACAAACAACACCAGTAATTTTATAGTGGTTCACTCTATAAAACGAGAGCTACATCCACTGTGATTTTGTAATTCTTTTGAGAAGATAACAATTTACAACAATTGCTCTCATTAAATCTCTTTTCTCTTTTCTGGAATCTCTCAACCCCTTCCTTACTGGGGGTCTTCCTCCTTTTATACTAGGCTTCCTTCGCTTAGGGGGTTTCCTTCATAGGTAGAAGCACTCAAGTGCTCTTCCTTGGTAGGCCCAGACGTAGCCCACTAATCAGCACTGTTCACTCAGCTAATTAGTCTCCTATTACGGCTCTGTGCTTCTCCATAATACTTTCCTATCCCCTGTGTAGCGGTTTGAGAGTTTACAATTAATGCCTGCAGACGTCTTTCACTTTTGCACGCAACCCGTCACGTCCTCTAAAGAACGTTCCCCTCGTCGTCAGCGCTGCTTAGCCCAATCGCCCTCTTTGGCGGTCCTTTCTGCGGTCGAGGGATCTTCGTGCCTTAATCTCAACGACGCGATCTGTCGACGCCATAAGGGATCGTCGCCCTAATTTGGACTTCGTGCTTTGGGCTTTCCAGCGGAATAGGAGGGAGCCGTAGACGTCGAGGGTTGTTGCTTGGCGGAGAGTAGTCAAGGGCACGTGTCGCATTATCGTTCGTCCATGTGTCCGTCACATTTTCCCACACAACATTACCTAACATGGTTTTTGTTCTTAAAAAAACATAAAACAAAATGTCGTAATTAAAATCACATTAAAATAAAAAAATTATAGAATTAAAAGAATCTGATATAGATATGAGAATTTAAATTAGAAGCCTGACTATAAAGTAATTTTTTATGCCTGCCTCTAAAAATCTCATACTTTCTATTAGACACTTACCAGAAATTACAAGTTCACATCAAACTTACTCGTCAACAAAATTAATCAAATCATCTGAGAATTGCCGATGCATAAAGTCATAATATTGGCGTTCTTTTTTCCTTCATTGATTCAACTCCTCAAAATTCTACACACAACGTAACAATAATTGCATGACTCCAAATTCTTGATCACCCTAGTAAACTTTGTAAATCCAAAAGAAAAAATTAATATCAAAGGTCTTATATGAGCTTTCCTCTTGAATTTTTGTGCACAGCTCTAAAATACACAAGGTCAAAGTAAAATCATATCAAATAAAAATATATATAACAGTTTAAAAGGAATTAATAAAAATATGATAATTTATCCCAAAAAAAAAAATGACAGTATTAATAAAGAATTGACGTGTTAAAATTGATGTAAGGTTAACGCAACTATTCCTCCTAGAAGTTGCAACTAATGAGACAGGCACAATTAAATCAGTTAAACATCACTTAGGCAAACTTGAGAATCCATCTCAAACATTACTCGTTTGGATCCTTATTTCAAGAATTTTCTTATGAATCTGTGGGCGCATTCAATAGAGGGGCCAAGACTTCTTCGAGGCCCAAGTCATGTAGGCCACTTTCCAATTTGACTCACGTGAATTTTTTTTATTGGTATTAAATAATTATTGAGAGTATCCTCATATTTTAATCCTCTCTTTCTCTCTGAGTACGGAAAAAAGATGCAGTATTTGGTCGGAGCTCCAGCATCGCCTACGGGCCCGTCACCAAACCTCTAGCCCCGAAATTCAGTTTCTCGTGATGGTGGCTATGCGTGGAGCAATGCATCCATGGGGCGGATCTAACTTGTCTTGGAGGTGGGTTGCTTCTCGCTTGAACCATTGTTTTTAGCGTGTTCATCGGCAGGTGGTCGCACTCCCATAATGTGTTAATCTGCATGGTAGTGAGATTCTTTGGGAGGCAATGGTTCCGTTTTTCGCTGGTGGTTGGAGTGTTCGTTGCAAACGTACTCTCCATTTTGTCGTGGTCCTCTCCCAGTCCTCCACCTTCCATGGGTGTGCTTTCCTTCTGGGGTGGCTCTGCTTAGATCTGGCTTCCGTTCCACGGTCGATGACTTGTTGTCGGTAGATCTTTCTTTTGTTTAGTTGTAATAAAGGCGTTGTCGTTTCTGCCTCTTTGGTGTCTTTTTTTGTTTTACTTTGGTGTTTTTGTTTCGGTAATAACAAGGGATGTCCTCCACTCGTGTCTCCTACATATTTATAAGCATTGTGGTGTATGATTCTGGGCTAGAGTTCTCTCTATGTCATGGTGTGATTGCCCCTATTACGTGGGAATTGATCTCAGTCAATTGGGCCAGTCCATCAACTATTTTGGTATTGTTTAACGAGCAATGGTTAAGCTCAAAGTTTTTATGTTGAGTGGGACTGCCCCTGTTTGAGTCTCGGTACTTGTATTCACTTTTATACTATTATGGTTTTTATTTGTGAATTTAGTCATTGATTTGGTGTCAAATTTCTTTATATTAGGGGCTATTTGTGTCTTGTGTATATTGTTTTATGTGAAATGAATTTTCCCATTTAAAAAAAAAAAAAAAAAAAAAAAAAAAAAAAAAAAAACTAACCCCTGTGAATAGAGTATTTTTCTGCATTCTATCATAAAAGTCTGTTTAAATGTTCATTAATTATTTGCTTCTTTTAGATTCATGGCAATTGACAAGCAACGTTGAGGTTTTGCCAGAAATCAAGTGGAATGTGTAACTTGTCAGTCGTATCTACATCACATTCACACACTCATAATTTTCAATGTATTTCTTCCATTCCATGCATTAATATCGTACAGCACTCCCACATTTGGGTCTACCCTGTCGCCAGCTGCCTGCATTATCTCCTACTTTATATTAAATTAATTCCCCTGAGCTAACAAAATTCAGTCTTCACAATACTATTTTCATGAGAGAATAATGCAAATAACATTTTTACAGAAAATAATTAAAATAAATAATAAATTTTAAAAATATTTAAATAAATAGCAGTAAATAAAAAATTTACGTGATAAATTATCTGTTTACTAGTTGTGAATAGAAAATTTACTTGATAAAATCTATTTACTGTATTCACTTCAAATAAATACTTATTCTTTAACAAATATTTCAAATATTTTTACATCTCCTATTACTTATTTTAATTTTGTAAAAATATTATTTATTAGAATTCCATATTTTCATTAAAAAAAACGAATTATAAATTGACCAATACATTTAATGGGTAATCTAATGCTATGGCACATGAGTTTAGAACTAGTGTAATTAACTTTTTTGTAGGGGAGAACTGTAATTAAGTGTACTCCAACGGAATAGCATGATCAATTTTGAACCACTTAGACACGATCGATCAGAGAACTTGGTTAATATAACCGCAACATAAATTTCAATGAATCTTCTGAGGAGCTCAACCATGTTGAGCCATCCTTGCTGCGAGAAGCAGATATCGCCCCTGCACAGCCGCAAGGAAGAAATCGAAGATCTCCTCTGGCCGGGGAGATCTGTTCTGGAGGATACATTAATCTGTTTCTCCCCACCAGAAGCTCCACATTCTACTCTCCGACCTCAAGAGACAAGAGCCTTGTCTTCAACCATAGAACCAGATGGATCATAACTTTTCTTATATGGCTCCATGTTCACCTCCCTCGTCATGAACGTCTTCCTCGCATCCAACACCCCCGCGTCATGAACGTCTTCCTCGCATCCGACACCCCCACTTCTTCAGGTGCCCTATGGCTAACCAAACGTCTTTAGAAACAGCACTAGCAATAGCAATCTGGGAAAGATTGAGAATTTCTTCTGTAGAAAACAACCATTTTTTCTAAATTACAGAGGTACGGGTAATTGACTAAAGCAGCGGATACCTATTGCAATTTTCAGTACATAACTGTGAGATAATCCACATTAACCCAAAATTTATAACTCAAAAATTAATAACAAACCCATCCTTCAACAGTGAACCATTTATAGCAAACATGAATATTAACACAAAATGAACCGCCCATTTCAGCCTTAATGCATTACTTGTGACTGGTTCCACGTATTGATGAGGCTTGTTTCCCATGAGAAAATGGTGGCGGGGGGGGGTTTTTTGCCAAGAAAAAATGGGGGAAAAGGGGGGGGGGGAGGGTACATGGGGGAAAACGACCAGAGACGAAGATGCGGGGCACCCTAATTTCTAATTCACTCAAATACGCCTGAATGCGCAGGCTACATGAGGAAACTGTGATGTTTTGATAGGACCTTCCACGGAAAACCCGCAGGGACTTACAGATGCCAATAAACTGGAAAGCTGAAGATCTAAATGCCCTTAAAAGACCAATCTTCATTAAAGTAAGTTTAGTTATCTTTAGGCTAAACCTGCAATGACTTGAACTTGTGACTATGGCCGTTAATTACTCTATCAACCACAACTATGGCTCCCTGGTTACCTTGCTAAACAACATATAAAAGAGCAACCGAGTATGTTAAACTATTCAGAAAGTGAACACTTCGTGGTCGCAGTCACCCTCGACTAAGAAAAACTGTGATTTAATGTTCAACGACAGATGCTTGGGAATTCTATTGCTAGACTCATTAAACTTTAATGTTGTACCTCAAGCTTCAACAAACCATGACTACATTTCTTCAAACTTTAACAAACTACAGTCATGAAGCTTTTACCGTCGAACTATGACTACATTTCTTCGAACTTTAACAAACTACAGTCATGAAGCTTTTACCATCATATATGTTCCTTCTGTTTTTCTCCACTTCATTCTATTGGCCATCACAACTGAAGTTCATCTCGCAAATGCAACCAAGTTTCTGCAAATCCTGAAACGTTCAAAATCAACAAAAACAGGACACGCGGCAGAGAATACAACTTTCTTTCCATCTTATGTAAAGTGTATTGACATGTACATGGTGATCAAACAAAATGAAAACATGGAGGCTAAAAGCAGAAGTTAGGATGCCATGCCTACAGTACATATGTTGTATCCTGTCACACGTGATGGCACCCATCCAGGGTAAAATCTCATAGCTTCCATCATCGTCAAAATATTACTACAAGGCATGCTCTAAGCTAACTTTGTTCCACAAGACTGTTTCAATCAGCGCCATGTCTAACAGCACGAATGCTCGGTCTTGATCTCGGCATAATGATAGGTCTACAAAAAACTAGAGTACACAACACCAGAGTCATGAACGACGCCATTGTAATCCATATAAATATGGTTTTCTTCCAATACCACAGTATCCTTCTAAAGAAGGGAAGTTCTGACGAAATAATTAAGGATGCATCATATAATTCAGGAATGCCAGCACCAGGCGGGTATTCTGCTCGTTGTTCAACTGTCACCTTTAAGCACGCAGTGGGAATAGCACCTTCGCTAAAACCTTTGAACTTCACATTCAGTGTTTGAGATTCTGATAAATAGCCAGCAAGAAGTGGAGCAATCTTAACAGCAGTTGACAAAAGGCGGATCGGCTCACTTCTGAACTGTATCATGCAAGGACGTCTTGAACTGGCAAGGATTTCACCGTTGCCAGAGAGAAAATCCACCCTCACCTACGTTTTAAAACAAAAAAGCCTAAGCATTACCCATATCCAAAATAAAAGTAAAAGAACAGGGTACAGACTAGTTAAAGTTGAGAAGAAATGGAATATTCAACTGCTTGCGGGAAAAGGGCATTGGGGAGGCAAAGAGAAACGATCAATAGCCCATTTCATTGACTTCTTTAAATATAAGGAACAGGGATCAATAGCCCATTCCATTGACTTCTTTAAATATAAGGAACATGGTATTCTTCATTATTGGATTCTTCTGCTAAAGAGTTCAATTAAGGATTTCCATTTTTCTTAGATTGTTCTTGCTAAAAAGGCTTTTCGTTTCATTGATTTATTTCGATGTTTCTTCTGATTTACTTTCTTGTGGAGGTTATCCTATCCTTTAATTAGCTTCCAACGTACTTCTTTACTGATATATTTTATCACTAAAAATATTTGTTTTCGAGACCCATGAGTGATATAATCTGAGCTTAGTCAACCAAAATATAAGAGTCTCCAAAACATTTTGGGGGAAAAAACTGAAATTCACTTCACCGGATTAAAGAAATACCTGAAACATCCAGGATTTCTGTTGTACTCTGACTCGAACTTAATCAACCGAAAGATAAGAGTCATCAACAAAATTGTGGATAGAAAAACTGAAATTCACTTTACTGGGTTAAAGAACTACCTGAAACATCCCAAGGTTTCTGTTGTACTCTGACTCGGGCAATGTCATCGAGACAATAGCCTTCACTTTGTGACCAGAAGGTATGGCCCGAAAACCGGTTCGCCTCCGATCTTCCATTTGTTTTTCGCAATCTATGTCACAACCGACACTGGCGCAAGACGTTATCGGCACATATGCTACCGGGCGATGCTTTGTGAAATCAAAGTTCAGAACTTGCTTCATCTGTAACGGTTCCTCCACAAAGTACTTCACCATTATCCCACTGATCACAAACGACGAAGCCAAAAGACCGAACAAAATGAAGCAGACGTAGCACGAACACAACAAACCCCATCCCCAACGCAATGCCACATTCGAAATCGCCTTGTGCTTCTTCAACCATTGGTGTATGTATGGACTAATCAACCCAAATGCCAATTCACACAATTTCCACAGTTTCCGAATAACACAATCTCTGCTACGCCTCATCAGTCGGAAAGGATCGGTCACAAACATGTAAACGTTATAAGTACCCCAAACGGGAAAAGTAACAAATGCAATTATCAAATTAATCTGAAATCCAATTGCTTTAATCACCAATACAGCCATAAATATGAGCAAGTTGTAGAGAGAACCGCCGTCGCGTTCCGCGGCCGAGTCAACCGAGTCGCCGACGTAGATTTGACTCGCGGTGGTAACAGCCGAATGCTCATCGTCCTGAATCGACTCGGATGATTTGTCCCCTTTCTTCTCGAAACTCCGATAATCTCTTCTCTTCTTGTCCTCAAAATCCACCCTTTTATCAACGATAGAATCAACCTCGGTAATAACGGACGAATCCAATGTCGAATCCTTCGATTCATTGACGGAGATTATAGTGGAGGCGGAACGCCGGCGGCGGAGGGTGACGGCCGTGGGAGGAGTCTCCGGCGAGGACGCTGAATCGTCGGAGAAGAAGACGAGGCAATCAGAGAAGGGGAATTCATCGAGGGCGTCGAAGAATGGTGCGTCGTCGTCGTCGTCGTTGCGGTCGGTGGAGGTCGGAAGGTCCATGGGCGACGGCGAGAGAGGGATCGAAGCTGATGGCTAGGGTTTCGTGGCATTCGAGGAGCGAGAGAGAGAAGAAGAAGAAGAAGAAGAATGAAGAATGAAGAATTATGGAAATTATTGTTGGCCGTAATAACAGAGGAAGACTGAGAATGGTGGGAATCTGTCGTACTGGATTTTTGGAGTTCGGATTAAGCAACTTCAAAGGCCTCGTGATTGTGGGACACCTAACTAAACTGATTTATTTCTTTCTTTTTTTTTCTTTTTTTTTCTTTTTTTTTTTTTAGAAAATTAACCAAATGGCTGTTTTTTACTCTTTTGTCGTATAGACACGGGGACTTTATCGTCTTTAAGAATATGGTTGTTTTTTATTTATTAACCGTTAAATTTATATTAAATTTAATTAAAAATTAAATTAAATTTAAAAAATAATACTGTTTTAACGTTGATATGTAAAGAATACACGTGTTTTTAATAAAGAGAAAATATTAAAAGATTGCCATAATTTTTATTTTTTGAACACCAAATTTTTTTTTATTTTACAAAAATGACCATGTTTTTATGGTAGTCAATCAATGATTGACCCACGGTCAATTAATAATTGACCGATTCATTATTAGTTTTATCAATAATTTATTATTAATAAATATGTAATTTATTGATTGAAATTGATTGATTATTAATTGATTATGATTAATTATTGATTAATATTAATTAATAATAAAAAATCATCAAATTAATCAGTATTAAATTGAAGTCAATAAACAATAGACCGTTAAATTAGACTATTAAGTTAATAAATTAACAGCCATTTTGATAATTTTATAAAACATAGACTATTTATGGAAAAAGAATCTCTAAAAAACGACCATTTGACTCTATATCCCTTTTAAGAAAAAGGAAATTTTAATAGTAGGAATTGTCCCTTTTCTCTTTTTCTTTACATGTTGGAATTACTTTTTAATCGTTAGTTTAATTTTTTAACCATTTTATTTGTAATTAGAAATATTTATGTATAGCACACTCAAAATTATACACATATAGACTAAATTAATGGTTAATCAAATCGTTAAAACAACAATTTTTACTAGTAAAATTTAAAAAAAAACTCAAAAAAGGGGGGAAAATGAGGGAAATATCAGTTTGGGAAGCTTATTAAACTTAATGGGAGCTCTTAAAAACATGTTTAGTTTATACAAAAAAAAAAAAAAAAAAAAAAAAAAAAAAAAAAAAAAAAAAAAAAAAAAAAAACATGTTTAGTAAAAAGTAAATTTTATAAAATTAGAATCATTCTCATCTCTCCTCCATCTCTCCAACAACCACCGTATCACTTTAAGAGAAAGATCGCCAACGAGAATCTCCACCTTGGTGGTGATAGATCTCCATACATCGAGACCAAACTTCTTCGTAAATGCCCAAATTCCTCCGCACATGGCTGCACAGATCTTCAAAGAACTTGACCTTTTTATCTATGCATGATGGCGCCGCCGTGGAGATCGTCTTAAAGACATCGTCTGCTTCAGCTTCAGCGGCAGGATAAAGGAGATGGAGAGAGAAGAGATAGAGTGGCGGATTATAATTTTATAATGGGAAATTTCATATTGGTATCCTATGTTTTAACATAATTATTTTTTAGTACCTTGTGTTTTTATTAGTAATTTTAAATTGGTAATTTGACGTTTTAAAAAATTATTTTTTAATATTTTTAAGTCATTTTTTAATATGTAAAATGTCAAATTTATTTTTTTCATTATTTTACCAAAAATTAATAAATTTAGAAAAAAAAAACTCTAAAAAATTATTTTTATTTTTAAATGTTTAAAATATTTTTTAGAAATTTTCTAAATTTATTATTAGTTTTTTAGTTAATTAATGAGAATGATAACTTTGACATTTTACATTTTAAAAAATGATCTTAAGATATTAAAAAATAATTTTTTAAAACATCGAAGTACCAATTTAAAATTATTAAAAATGTAAAATATTAAAAGATAATTATGTTAAAATACAAGGTGTCAATATGAAATTTTTCTTTTTATAATCAGAAATGGTGCTCGTAGAAAATAAAAAATAAAAACATGATAAGTGTTATTTACTATTTAACTAAAATAAATATGTTATTTACCACCTCAACTTTTATGAATTCTGATATTTACTACGAATTCTGAAAAATAAAAAAAAATAAAAAAATAAAAAGGAGAAGATAATGAATCTGTCATCCGTGTTTAGGGGATTGTTTTGGACCAAGAAAGCTTTGAGGTGGGCCGTTTCATCTTTCTGAGTCTTAGATCACAGGTGATATGGGCTTCTGTACCCGGAATGGAGAAAAATGTATATATAACCTTTTGTATCGTAATTTTGTATCTAGCAAGTAAAGTGATTGTGTTGTTAAAGGTGGTAGCGGTAAATTTAAGCTCATTTCAATTCTCAGAAGGGAGGAGAAGTAAAATATCATAGGAAATAACATGGTAGAAGGAGATTTTCTTTTTATGTTGTTTAGTAAAAATGAAAGAAAAGAGAAAAGAAAATGTAGTATTTAATGGGTTTTATAATTATACTCCCATAAAAATAAAAGGATGAATGAGGAGTGATTAAAGTTAAAATAGTTTTTTTACGTACTTTTTTTCTACTCAAAAAAGGGGGTCTGGCCGATAATTCGGCAATCTACTCAGATGACGGTGGAATGGAAAGGAATGACAATGGGAATTGATCATTGGTTTTGTTAAATCTCCCCCTCTCTCTCTTTCTTTCCAAAGTTAAAGAGGATTAGAAAATGGCCCCATATATAACTTTTCTTTCCCAATTTCTTCTCTATCAAACAAATTAATTAAGATATTTTTTTTCTTCTCTAGAATCTCTCATTTAATTTCTTTACTCTTCATTTTCCACTCTACTAAACATGGACTTAGTGCATGTTTTGTTTGAGAGTTCAAACCACCTCAGTTTTAGTTCAAACAATGTTTTTTCTCACAAAAAATTTAAATTTAAAATGTTCTACTATAATGTTTCTCTCACAAAGTTTAAATTTTAATTCAAACCACCTGATTTGAACCCTAAAACAAATAAGAAATTATTAGAGTTTAGATTTTAAATTCCGCTCCTTGAGTTTAAAATTTATTTAAATAAATTTAAACCACTTATAGTTTATTCTCTCTCTTTCATCTTCAATTTACTCGAATAATTTGAGAGGCCTTCAAATTGTTATTGTTAGTATTAGTCCACTTATAGATATGATAGTTAAAATTAACGATAAATTTTATAAATTTCTCCTGATTTTGTCACTTGTGTCAACATGCCTCTTGAATTTTAAAATGTGCACGTTTGCCCCTGAACTTTGTCACTTATGTCAACATGTCCCTGAGGTTAACTCCGTTAAGTTTTTTAACAGAAATGCTTATAAACACCCCTGATAATTGTCATTTGTGTCAATATGCCCCATAAACTTTAAAATGTACCTGTTTTGCCCCCCGAATTATGATGTCTCTAACTTTTTTCTCTCCATCTTGATTCTATCAGTTTTTTGAACGGAAATGTTGATATGGCCATTAAATTACTAATTATCTATGATATTTGAGGTTTATTGAATACCTTCTCTTCTAAAAATGTTAGTTAAGCACCAATTCCCAAAATATTAGTTTATTAGAGGCAATAAAGAGAGAAAAATAGGAGCAAATATGTATAATGTAATGAATTTTGTTAATCTTTTTTCTTAATATTTCACCTAGATAGAAGTGCTCGACATAAAACATGTTTATGCATTATATATATAGCATTTCTAAACTTAAATGCGTTCATGTCATTTATTTTATTATACATTTTAAAAAAAATCAACACAAACTTTGAGAAACCCATTAACTTAACAAAATTTAATGGTCAAAGATAATTAATAATTTAATGGTCATATTAACATCTTCTTTCAAAAAACTAGTAGAATCAAGATAAAGGGAGAAAAGTTGGAGATATATCATAGTTCGGATGGCAAAACATGTATATTTTAAAGTTCATATGGCATATTAACACAAGTGACAAAGTTCATGGGGTTTTTACAAGCAATTTTGTTAAAAAAAACTTAACAAAGTTAACCTCAGAGGGCATGTTAATATAAGGGACAAAGTTCAAGAACACAACATGCACATTTTAAAATTTATGGAGCATGTTAATACAAGTGGCAAAATTCATAAAAAATTTATAAAATTTATCTTAAAATTAATTCCGACGTTACCGAAGAAGACTTGTTCTAAAGGTACGGCAAAACAACTTATCACGTAGAAATTTACTTCTCCTATTTAATTTCTCTCTTTGTTTCTCAACTCTCTACTCACAAGTCACAAGGAAATCAAAATCTACAAGAGGCAGGTCACAGAGCTCACTGACACTTCTCCGCAGCTAGCTAGGTTAGGATGTTTAGTAGAGGGATTCGTTCCCTGATTCGAATCATGATTCGTGGTTCGCTACAGTATTTTTTCTCACAAAAAATTTACGCAAATCGAAAATGGTTCGAATCACATGGTTTGAATCCTCCAACCAAACGTCTTAATTTATGCTCGCCGTTACGATGCTTGTAATGTCCCAACTTGTTGGATGCCTATCAGGAGATATTTTGGACATCACAATGTGCAAAAAGTGGCTCAAAACGAAAACGAAGGACAAATAGTAAAATGGAGAATCTTTTACGTGTTATTTTGTTTCATCGTAAAAACAGTTAGTTTAATTATTACCGTCAGATTTATATAGATTTATATTAAAAATTTATAATGTGCTACAAAAATTATTGTCACTGTAAATTGTTAAAAACTTAGTCTAATAGTAAATACACTAGGTTCTTAAAAAATGATAAAATAATGAATTATTTTGCAATCCAAGCTCCACAAGAATGACACAAGCATGCAGTCCTGCAGCAACTTTAGTAACTAACTCACAAGTCATGTGTCCGTGGTACGAAGTGAACCCAAGTGAACCCTTTAAAAAACCTCTTTAGACTACATGATTAAACAGAAGTACTGTCTAATTAATTTCAAAGAGCTGTATATGCAGGGAACTTCCACGTGAAGTGGTAGAAACGTTTCTAGTGTCGGGAAAACTCACGTTTCCCATATTTGTGAGCCACATATTTATTATAACAATTATGTTGGGCTAGTGGGCTTTTATAAGTGGTCAAATTATCAGGGTACATAAGACTTATAATTGAGTATAGATTTAAT